TTAAAATTTTGCAAGAAAATTTAAAATTTCTTTCCATTAAAAGAGATTCCCAAATTGAAAAAATTGAGGAAACTGATAAAAGAATATTAAATTTTGTAGAAATTGGTAGTAAGTGATAGGAGTAGAAATTGGTCTTATGAGAATATTGTCGAAACCGTTTAGAAATTGAAAAATACTCCCAAGTTTGCTCCTATCAAGATAAGAAGAGAAAGATGGAGAAATTAAACAAAAATTCATCAAATTGTTAGAAATAGTGGACTGCCCTGAACAATGTTGCAAAAAAAAGAAAAAAGGGGTCAATGGACACTCTAGACTTAGTAATCGGGTCTTTTTACCTAAGTCAAGTGTCGGGATTCACATCAAACGGAAAAGGGAATGCCAAAGACGATCACCTAACACTCAGTAATCGGGTCTCTTTACATAAGGCAAGTGTCGAGATTCACGTAAAACGGTGGAAGGTAACAATAAAAATAAGTGTGTATATCAAGTTCAGGGGTAGAAATTCTTATACCCACCTTATTTCAAAAATCAATCTCAGCTTATCGAGACAGTCTGCAAACGGAAGGGTATATAAGATTTTTAGGCCAAGTTTCTGTAATATTCAAAGTAAGACAGTTTTACCCCTTAAGCCCAATACCGATCTATACAAAGTTTGAGAATTCTGAAATCAGGATACTTGGCTAATTTTGTCAGGGATGATCTTACAATGGAAATGATTTCTTTACTTAGTATAATTTTAAGGCTACATTGCTAAGGGACTAGCAATGGTTAAGTTGGGGGATGTGATAACTCTGTAGTTTGATGCCTTAAGGGCATCATTTCAGGGGTATTTTCGGCCTTAGAATAATCAAAATTTCCCATTTTCCCAGTTAAATTCAATATTGTGACCTCTGAGGGTCTCTGTGCAAATCTTGGGGAAAACTAGGGAGTTTCAAGACTGAAATGCAATTTTTGGGAAGCTGGTGTGAAGTCCAGCTAAGAGAGGGGGTGTTTTTGTGAAAAACTGAGCACAGGAGGGCGCCTCCTATCTACTAAACCCAGAATGGCGTCCCTCCTAGTGTATTAGCATGCTCCCCTCTCCTTAGAAAACCCTAGGGCGCCTCTCCGCTCATTCTTTTCATCCTTAACAAACCCTAGCCACCCCTAACTGGTAAATCCTCACCTTCCATCCCTTCTAATCTCCACCATCCATTATAGGGCACTCTCTTTTTAGCATTCTAACCCTAGGGAGCCACCTAACTCCTAATCTTCACCATTCAGCCTTTAGCCATTAAATCTCAGCCCTACATAATATTGGGTGCCCTCTCATTTTCTTTTCAGCCCTTGAATTACCTTAGAACAATCCTAACCCTCCATTCAAAACCCTAGGATGCTCATATTTCTGCAAAAAACTAGATACCGCCCCCCTCTTTCTCTCTAATCCTAGTTTTATCCTTCATTCTCTATAAAAATGACCCCAACGGCCCTGGAGAAGGGGTTGGTCAATTCACCCAGTTCACAAGGCTAAGGTTTTTTGAGGAGTTCAAGGGTTGTAGAAGGGGGGGGGGATGCTCAGGAAGGGTTCCTGCAAGCTGTTCAGCCAATCTGCAATTACCGCCACTAGATCTGATCAACCATTCTTTTCTTTTCTTCATTTTCTTTTCCGTTATTTTTATTTCAACACTTTTTAGATTTAATTCTTGTTCGTTTCTCTATTTTACAAATCTGAATTCGTCTGGTTCAAGGCGAAGGTGTCTCGAGGGGTTCAAGGGCTAAAGAGGGGAAGGACGCCTAGTTCTTATCAGGAGGGGTTTCTGCAAGCTGTCCGGCCAATTTACAGCTACCGCCATTGGATCCGAATTTCAGATCACTTTTATTTATTTCTTTTGTTAATTTCAATACTATATTAATTTCTGAATTTTAGTTATTGTCTTGTTTAATTCCGAACCTTTAATTTCAGCATTAATAAATTTTGTTTTCTTATTTTCTACAATTCCCAATTGTATTATCTTTCCCAGATCTAAGTACGCAACGATTTTTCCCTTGCTTCTCTGTGGATACGACCCGTTCTCACCCATTTATTGCGTTTATATTTGTTTGAGATTAAAAAAAAAAATTATAAATATTAAACTGGTGTTCCGAAGTGGTTAACGACACGCTTTTGACAACACCAGAGGCCAATGAGGACAAGTTGCGGACTAGCCTCGACCTAATGGAGGAAGTTCGTGACTTGGCCTACATCTGGACCGCAGCGTACCTGCAGCGGATAGCTCAGTACTATAACGCTTGAGTCAAGAGATGCCAATTTCAAGTTGGCAACCTGGTACTCAAGAAAGTTATGGTACCTGAGCCTAATGCGGGAAAGCTGGGTCTGATATGGGAAGGCCCCTACAGAGTTTTAAGGGTTATCAACGAAGGCACGTACAAACTTGAAACCATAGAGGGGAGGCAGATACCTCGTGCATGGAACATCAACAATCTACGAAGATACTACGTCTAAGGCTCAGGTGCAGCCTTGTCCTACGTCAAATGCAAACCTCGACCACACATTTTGGCAACTAGGATAAAGCCAACCTACGCTATAAACACCTCGGCTAGAAAAATTTAAAAGGGGAAGCTAAACCACATTAAGCTTTAAGGCCCCCTCAAGACAGCCTCAAGACATGTTGACTAATCTGTGCAGTCGGCCCCCATCTAACTAGCTCGACAATGTTCTGACTTTGCTAGTTCACTTTTTAGCACCACAACTTAAGTGTACTTCAGTTCAAAGGAAACCAGTATGCTTTTAGCACCTCGACAAACATGCAAACTTGTCCGACTTCTTCATAGTCGTCCTCCACCTTGGTTTCAGGCTCCGCATTGACCTTGTTGGCTACTCCTTCAAGGACCGGCTTGAGGAACATTGCGTTGAAGTCTGCGTAAGTGGAGTGACCTAAGGAGGTAGTTGCGTAGTTTGAAGCCCTTCTTGAGGACGACACGATGAATTCCTCTCCTGAGGTGTTCGGCCGAATTACAGAACTCCTTGAAGTTTATATCCTTGGTACGGTAAATGTCCTCAGAGTGCCTACTCCGCCTCACCACAAGTAGATGAGTTTGCTCTTGTGCCCTATAATTAAGATGGCGAAGTCCTAGTAATGTTGCATTCAAACCTTAGACTCTTCTGACTTGGGGAGCAAATTGGATTGATGCCTACGAACTGATCGAACTAGTTATTTTGGGCTAAGGACCCATAGCGAGCTACTTCCTTTGCTGAACTAACCTCGTCTCAGGTGTGGGGGGCCAATTGATGAAGGGTGATTTGGCCCTCCAATGACATCGCAACGCATGGCACAATAGGACCGCCGCATGACACCTCAACACCAGACGAACAACTGTGGACCTCATTAAGTCATGGAGGGGCCTCAGAACCAATCTGAGCACCTCGGGAGAGTGGCTAACAACACGTCGTCTAGGGCCGACTTGTGGTACCTCATTAGTAAAGGTTCAAGGGACCTTGGCATGAGGAGCGACCTCCCCCGATGGACTTACCGACCTGATTGAGGTCCAGGTGGCGACCTACGAGATGTGCTCACCAACCTCCTTTGCGTGCATCTTATCACTCCCAAGTCCTCTAGAAGTCAACTTCTGCACCGATCGTTTTGAAGGTAATTGGATAAGGCACGAAAGCCTAGTCCGCATGTGAAACTATCTCCGAGGACTTCGGACCAATAAGTCACGTCCTCCCAAGGATCTTGGACGCAGTGCATGAAGCTCATGCCAACCAACTCTTATATATAGGCACCCCCATTTTTTAAGAAAGGGGCACATGATTTAGCTCTCACATTTCACTAGCTCTCTAGTTCTCTCACTTTTTTAGCTCTCTCAAAACTTTTCGTTGACTTAAACATTAGAATGTCCACCCTGGGTGAAGCAACCCAAACACTCTAATCTCTTTCTTGCAACTCGATCAAACAACCTACTCAATCCTGCATCCAAATTGTCTGCCTCGTGCACCATCAGATTCCACAGCACATCCCAAGATTCCCAACTTATATTATTGGAAGTATCTTCCACTAACAAATTAGGGAGATATTCCCAATGCTCGCTGCGATATGCATGTGGTGCACCCTCTAAAGGGCGCAGATGTGAACTCCACTCAATTAGGTTAATGGACTCACTTTCAGTTCTCAAGACTCAGCTTTCAGACTAGCACAGGACCAGGATTCAAGTTGAGATGTGGTTGGACCAGTATTGTCAGACCAAGATCGATTTGAACAGTCAAACCAGATGGACTGGCGTCACTTTCCATTTATAAAAGTATAACCATTCTCCTATTGTCTTGTTTCCCTATAATGGAGCATCCTTATCCTTGTTATATGATCATGACCGTTGAGATAGAATAATGGATAATAGTCAGCCAGTCTTCAGTACCATGTGTCATGTACGTAACACAATAATATTTTCAGGCACCGTAAGAGGTAAAGGGTAAATTCGTGATGATATTTTTTTTCTGCTGCTGCTGGAAGATATTATACGATGTCTTCGGGTCGAGAAGTAAGAGGTAGCCCCCCAAGCTCAATCTCAATCTTTTCTTTTTATAGAGCGCTTCTCACACCGACCTTACGGCCACATCCTGCCCTGTATTAAAATTATCTCCCACAAAATACCCTGTATTGAAATAATAAATATGAGAGATGTTCTCGATGTGCGATCAGAAGATACTGTAAAATCGGTGTAAGGCGCGTTATGTGAGAGCAGATTCGGGCCCCGCACTCCGGCGGCCCGGCCCCACGTCGATGCCAACGTGGTCTATCAAAAATGTGGGCCAGGTTGGGGTGGTTCATCCTTCAGAATTCGTTCATCACTTGTGCAAATATGTCTGCTCTGCTCGCCGTCAAAGCTGAAGCACTACACGTAACGCAAGCTGACTGACTGCTATACGGACATTTGTCTCATTGATTCCACCTTATCTTTTTTTGATTTTAACTGTTCAGTTCACTTCTAAAACTCTTAATTCCACCTTATAATTATTATTATTATTATTATTATTTTTTGCCTTTGCTCTACAAGACTACAATGCTTTTGTTTTCATCAAAAGTTTTCAGTTGAACTTAGGATCTGTTCCGGCTATCCCTCTTCTGCATTCGCCTTTCCATCGTTCGACCGACCACTCACCAAGCAGCGATGAGCACATACAGAACGGTTGAGATTTTTGAGCCTTCACCATCTCTCTTCGTTAGAGAGACATCCATTTTCAGACCCAAACCCCTAATTTTCCCATCATTCATAGAAGAAAATGACCTTGCTTTCACTCTCGATCTATTAGACCCTAAGCCTAGCCTCTCTGACTTCGATCTCTTTCCCCAATGCTTCTCCTTTCCTTCTCCGTTGCCTCCCTTTAATGTCTTCGAAAACGTTACCGATCTCATCCAGATCGACAAAACCCCATTTTCTTCTACTTACAAGAGGTACCAAGAACGAACGGCCACTGATTTCTACTTGCGAAACCTGTGCAATCGTGTATCTGCTCTCGAGCTGGGATGTGATCGGTTCCTCAATGCCAAGAAGATCAATGATCTGGAACGGAAGTATTCATGGACCGCGGAGATCAAATCCCCGGAGAAAAGTGGCCTCGATCGGAAGTATAAGTGGACAGCGGAGATTAAGGCTGGAAAATCCAAAAACGGTGTGCCAGGAGGTGTAGAAAAGAATTTCAAGTGGACGGCTGAGATTAAAGGGCCGGGAAAAGACTCTCCCATCTCTCACACTTATACGTTCAAAGCATCAACATCTCCTGCCGATGCCGGAGAGTACAGTGGTTACTCCTCCAAGCCTAAGAACAAAGGCGCTAAACATTTGCCCTCCAAACGTGTAGTGGAGATTGAAGAACCGACTGGTCATGGAGCCATTGTTCTTAAACAGGTCCAGTTACTCCCTTGTTTACCTCCACCACTTACTGCTTTAATGGTGAATAGTGGATGGTGATTGCAGGACCGCTGAAGTTGAAAGTGGCAGGTCAAAAGCTCCTTGACCGGAAAACCTCCAACTTTAACGGTGTTGGAATTGCTTGGATTAACTTGTTTGGATAATGTGGGCATGTTTTTGACGGAATTATCTTGATGACTGGTTAATTAGCAACAAAAATTTATCGCTGGATAGGTTGCAGTCCCATCTGACATCTGGTTGTAACGTCGGGCGGCACTGCAACTGCTGGAGCTGTAAATTTGTCTCGGCTGATTAATGAGGCCTTTTCTTTTTGTTTTCTTGTTTGTTGTGGTAAGGCTTTTGCTAAGAGGACTCACAATGGTAAGGGGAAGAAGAAGGAATTGTCTCCCCAGGATGCGGCCATAGTGATCCAGATGAGCTTCAGAGCTTATTTGATCCGTCGATCCCAAGCTCTTCGGGCACTTAGAGATCTGGCTGTGGCCAAAGCCAAATTGAAGGAGATTAGGACATTGTTCAACAACTTCTGCTACAGAAAACGCATTGCCCGTGATGCAGAGGAACGGCAGAGGTTTTCTGAGAAGATTATTGTCCTGCTTCTCACTGTTGATGCTATAGAGGTAGTCTGATAATTTAATTTTATTTTTAAGTCCTTTGATCAAAATGCTCTAATATTTTTACTACGTTCATGAATTTTCCCTTGCCCTGTCCAATTAAAGGAATTCTGTTATTCTGATGTATAAAGTAGTTAACAGTTCAAGTTATAGCAAAACCTGTGATGAGTGCTGTTGGGTAACCATGAGTCTTGTCTAGTGGAATTGGAATTATGATTGGTTACTGGTTACAACATGAGTCTTGTCTAGTTTAGTTTATTTCAACTTCCTTACCAGCCAGTGTGTCCAAACATTTGTCCAGTTCAGAATTGAATGGGTGTCATAGCCTTTTTTACTTCTCTTGTTTAAATCTTAAATTGCTTTTAGACAACATATACTCGCATTATTAGCTACTCAAATTTAACCATCTAGTTAGGCTTCAAATTAAAAAGTAATAATTTATTGGGTCTATGTTGAATCTGTGTGACAATGGGAATAGCATATTTGTACTGTTTTGTTCAATGAATGTCTTGTGGAGACATTATCTCTGAAAATGGTGTGTTCAAATTTACCAAATCCATGTAATTATTATCCATGAGAAATCGAACATTCAATTGGGTTTGGTTGTTTCTGTTTTTTTCTATATTGTATTAGGGAGCTGATCTTATGGTTCGAGCAGCAAGGAGATCAATGGTGGATGAGCTGGAAGCAATGCTCGATGTGGTTGATCCCCAGCCTCCTGGTAAGTTAGGTTCCTTGAAGAGGAGGAAGTTCGATCTGCCTGAGGGTGGTATCCAGAATGAAATTGCAGCTGGTGTGACAGAGGTTGTCCAAATGCTGGATCAAGTTGAAAATGGGGGTAGTACCTTTGAAGCATGCTTGTGAGAACATGGCTAAAGTGAGGCCCTTCTCTTCCTGTTGTTCTTACCCTTTTATGTTGTCTTCTGCTGTTAACCTGAGAGATGTAGGTATTGCGCCCTTTTAACCCGTTTTGTTGATCAAAAATTTTTTTCGAGACTTTCCCGCAAAAGTAATATGATGGGTTTGAAGGGGAGCCCCTGAATGTGTTAGGCACTTGGACTTTGTGTTTGTAATGTTTAAATGCAACCATGTTTTATCTACAAGTCTGGCATTTCTCTCTTTTATTGTTTTCCTTTATCCAGGAAGAAGCAAGGATGGTCCAGATGGTCATGACAGTTATGACGGTTGGTCTGTGGATTCTTACGGTGGTCCCTTGTTGCTAGGTTGTTAGTCATGCATCTTTGGTTTTTCCCTATTCCTCCCGTAATTTGGTCATTTTTTAAGTTTTAATTTATAGGGTCAATTCGTATTGATAGCCTAATTCGTTGTTTTGCTTTTATTCGTTTGCTCATAATTCGCCAGTCCTAGAGGGTTCGATGGGGCCTTTTTCAAAAACACGGAGGGGTTCCTTGGTTGTGGGCTTCCAATATTCCCACTGCGTTGAGGCAGACATTAGACAGCTGAGTTATTGAACAGGGAAATAAAGGCCCGTAGGCAATTCAATCACTAATGCTGTGTTTGGTTTGAAGGAGAAAGTAGGGAAAGGAAGGGAAAGGTAGGGAAATCTTTACAAACATAGCATTAACAAACTCCGATTACAGATTGGAAGACTCCCCCATTAAAAGATGTTGAATACAAGGAGGAATTTGATGCCATTGCTTAGGCTCAGTTTGGAAGGAGTACAATACAAATTTGTAGAGTGCAAAATCTTGTATTTTGTATGTATTTGCAGAGTATATATTTGTATTTGTACTCCTACCAAACTGAGCCTTAGGAAAAATAAGGTTCAACAGCAATTTGAACAATACATGCGTCACTTTGTTCCCTAAGGCTCCGTTTGGTTTGTGGGATGGGGATGAGAAAAATGAAATATTTCAAAAATATTTCCTTTTCTCTCGTTTGTTTCAAGGGAAGTAGAGGGATGGGATGAGAAAAATGTGGGATCTCAAATCCCAAAATCGTGAATTTGGGGTCGCATCAAAACCGTGCGACCCTGGTGGAGAATTTTGAGAAATCACTGTTACCATCGACGACGAAGAACCAGTGCAACCTCCCCTTCCCTATTCGAACCTAGAAGAAGAGTAGCAGCGGTGACTTCTTCCTTCTTCTGCTACCTCCCCTTTAAAACTGCTACCTTCCTTGTTCGAACCTAGAAGTAGAGTAACGGCGACGACTTCTCTTTCTTCTCCTACTTCCCCTTTCGAACCAAGATTTGCTACTTTTTCCGTTCGAACCCAGAAGCAGAGCAGCGGCGACGACTTCTCTTTCTTTTTCTTCTGCTACCTCCCCTTTCGAATCCAGATCTACGACCTTCCCCGCTCGAACCTAGATCTGCAGCACCGTTCATTGTCTTCACTTTATGCCGATGAACTATTGTTCGTTTTCATCTTGGTGAAACAGAGCACCTCACAACGGCTTTCTCTTCGTCACAATGCTTTTTCCATTATTTTCCCATATCTAAAATCAAACAGTAGAAGTGTAAATTTTTACACTTTACCATCCCATTCCATTCCACCCAAATCTTCTCACAAACCAAACGGAGCCAAAGGCTACTGTATAGGTTTCCCACCCTTTCCCTACTTTTTCCTTCAAAGTTTAAACTAAGCACAGCTAGCCTAAGTGTCGAATGTGATTGATGTGTACGTCTTCAAATTGTTCGAGAGCCTTGTAATCGGTGATGTCGTGGTGATGGATATAATTTGTCAAGGAGGTTAATAAGAAACCTGAAACAGGGCCGGTACAACTTGTAAGTTGTAACGAGTCTCCTTCAAGGATGATTCTTTGGTGCTGATACTGTATAGCCAATTGAAGATCAAACAAGAAAGTCAAAGCCTCTTCCTCCAATGGAGAGCCAACCCCAACAGGTTTAATTTGAAGAAGCAGAAGCACTGATGTTCCCATTTGAGTCACGTATGGCTTTTCCTACGCCGGCTTTGTTCAAGCAATGAGCTCCGTCAACATTAAACTTGACCACTCCCATCGGTGGTTGTCTCCAAAATGACAACTACAGTAGGCTGTGCAACCTTTAGAGGGTGTAAATCTGCATCATGCACGGTTCCCTCCATCAAATAGTCGCTTTGACAGGTCTAAAATTCTTCAAACATGTTCAAGGCCTGCCTGCAACCAAACTCTTCGTGGCTCTAGTGAAATATTTCCAAAAATCAAAGCACATATTGCCTTCCAAATACACCATGCAACGATCAGCACTTCATTGACCTTAGTAGTGTCTTGATTAGAGTCTTTTTGGTCAAACAAATACCGCAGCCATTCTACGAAGGAACAGTTTACCAAATCAGTACAATCATGGAACCTTGATTCAAATCAGACTCTTACCGAAAATTCACTTAATTGTATACAATTAAAGAAAGGAAAATTGCTATTCTTTAAAACTCACCACGAGTCTTCAGTATTTCTCTTAAATTTACCATAACTTATTTAAAATCAGTAAATTTTTGTTTTCCAAAAATCACCTTTCGTTAAAGTACCGTTAATGTTTATTAATAGAAGTTGTCAATGTCAACGTAAATATAATTTTTATGACCAAATTGCCCCTAAATGGCGAGTTAGGAAAAATGGTCAATTAGGGTTAGATTTATTCTCCCAAAATTCTCTCTCTTACACTCATTTTGTTGACCACCCCTTTCTGCCTCTCTCATTAGATCTTCAACTATCTCTCTCTTTGCCTCTCTCATTAGATCCTTCGGCTGTTGCACCGCCTCTCTCTCTCTCTCTCTTTGTGCCACTCAAATCTTTAGTTTAAAGGTTACTGCCACATAGATCCACCAGTTTGAGGATTTGAAAGAATGAAGACGATAAAAAAATTTTAGAGATTTTTTATATTTTGAAACATTTTCATTGTATTCTTTAGAATGTAGAATGTAAATCCCCATTGAGCATTTTACAAATTTATGCAAAAAATACTTTTGTAAATTTTTAACTAATTGAATATATTTTTTTTTGAAAATTTGTTGCAATATTCATTGGATGCAATGTCTAATTTTTGTTTGATTTTTTCAAAAGATTTTATCAATTTATTAGTTCAATTATTTTGTTTTTTCTAAAATATATAACTTAAAAAATTATTGTTTTTTTTGTTTTTTCCTTTTTAGTTGATACATACATACATACATACATATATTATATACATATATATATATATATATATATATATATATATATATAGATAGATAGATAGATAGATAGATAGATAGATAGATAGATAGATAGATAGATAGATAGATATATAGATAGATAGATCGATAGATAGATAGAGAGAGAGAGAGCTATGGCACATGGGGTGACTGAAGTTCTTTAGCTAAAAAATCTTTTAGTGAAGCTTGGAGTTGCTGTTCACAATCCTATGTCTCTTTACTGTGACAAGGCATCCATTAACATCGCCAACAATCCTGTCCTACATGAGAGGACCAAGCACATTGAAGTGGACAAACACTTCATAAGGGAAAAATTGGAAAAAAGGGAAATTTGCATCCTTATGTCAATTCCAAGGAATAACTTGTTGATGTCCTCACAAAAGGACTTCCATACTCGCGGCACAATGAGTTGTGTGACAAATTGGGCATGATAGACATTTACAGCCCAACTTGAGGGGGGCTGTTGTGAAACTTATTTATTGGTTTGTTGTTAGTATGTTGTTAGTATCCTGTTAGCCTGATCAATTTAGGTGCTATCAGCTAGTTTTCTTTTTTTTTTCTTTTTTCTTTTTTGTTATTTGTTTATTATTTGGAATTTCTACCAATGACATTCTTGTAATTTCTAATCTTATTATTTTAAGAGAATATAAATAACAAGCTGGTAGCCGCCAGCCCTTATCTTTGGTTCTCAATCGAACCTCCCTCTCTCTCTCTCTCTTTCTGGAAAGAACACACGGGCTATTCTAAGATATGAGGAGGAAGAAGAGGAAGGTGACTCCCCAGGAAGCTCCTCAGGTCGTTACTTCCAATCCCGCTAGACGAAGAGCAGTCAAAGTCGTGTCGGTGGTTGACCTCGTTGAGTGGTAACATTCGTAGGGGACCTTGCTTGGAATTCCGAGGAGCCCCTTCCATAGCTCGGGGCTAGGGCGACCACTACTCCAGATGCTGAGGCCACTTCTGAGGAGAAGCGCACCATCATGGACTTCCGAACTGCCTTAGTAAAGAGCAAGGAGGTCGTCTTCCTAGACGAGGTCGCAAAGCTCCATGAGTCACGTCCCGGTGAACTAGGTGGGACGCTGACGCATTGCTTCCTAGTGGTATGCGCCCAACCTCTTCCTTCATACTTAGCTAAATTTTATTTTGCTGCAGATACACCATTTCTTTTTCCTCAGGCAGACACCATGGCCCACGCTATGCTAGGTCAAGCTGAGAGGGGAGCTGCTAGAACCCATGCTCTTGAGGAGGAGGTGATGAAGCACCGATCTCACTTGGAACGAGCTAGGCGACTTGTCCATGACCTAAAGGTTGAGATTGTCCAGGAGTGAAGTCACAGTGCTGACCTAGCGAGCACCACTAAGAAATTTACCAACAAGCTAGAAGCCAAAGGCTGTGAGTAATGGAAGAAGGAGGCCAATATAGCTGACTTCAAGGGAAACTCCTTGACGACGTCCATGCTACTAAGGTCCGAGTTGTCGAGGACTTCAAGACTTTGCCCAATTTTCTAAAGGAGTGGAAGGAGTTCAGGATAGGCGCCTTCCATTAGAGTTTCAAGCTATGTTGGATGCTGGTGGCCTCGGTGTATCCCAACTTCGAACTGGCCAAGCTGAAGAGTTTCGCATGCACCGACGAGATGATGGCTTGAGTTGATCAGGAGCCTAACTCCGAGGAGGAAGATGAGGTCGTCAGGGGCGTTGATGGTGGCACAGACGGCGGAGCTGGTACTAGCAGCAACGGAGTCGACGGCGTCAGCGTTGAGGAGCCCAAAGACATTTGAATTTCTTACCTCTTTTCTTGGAGCCCCCTATATATATGTTGTATGCCGAACCTCCATGCTCGAAAATCTTAGAAAGATCTTTTTCTTTTTCTTCCTTTTTTAGTAGCGATGTACGATGTACTTTTTGCATTACTCAATAGAATTGACTTTTTTACATATACTGTGCCTCTTTCTTGCCTTCTATTTTTAGTCACTAGGA